GATTTAATAAAAGTTATGACTTGTATATTACATAAATATATATAAACATGTTTTATTAAGCAGAAGATGAGAGCAATTTTACGAGCAAAACCGTATCTCCTAGGTAGGTATACCCACCTCTCGTTTTATTTTCTATACGCGATACTCGGCGGAATAAGAGAGAAATGTTTGAACTGTAATATTATATACCTACGTCTCATATGTATGGTTCTTGGAAATCGGAGACCGGGAGAAATCATATTTCGAAAAATAATCCGAATTTTATCCGCAAAAAAAAAAAACGAAACGTATACTATTATAGTATGGGTTATCCGTCTCCCTTAACGTCATTATTGAAATAGAACCTGGATGTCCATATGGATGAATTCATACGATTCGACATCACACGACATTCGACATCGGGTTTTTCGATGATTGGGTTAGGATAGGTATATATATATGGTAAAAATAGTATTTATCATAAAGATTCGCACTTTTCGAAATGGATAAATTCACACGCGCGTGTTATATTATAAAAAGGGGGCCGTTTTACTTCGTCTTAGTACGATGATTGGATATTTGCCGCCGGGCTGCAGCAATTTCATCTCGGTTGACCTATTTTTCCTAACCCTGCTCTGCGGCACGGACAAATAAATAATATTAAAAACGGTTTTCTAACAAACTACGCATGTTACGCAGCGAATGTATACATATTGCATACATTGGTAGACCTACAATAATATCGTTAAAAATATGCATTTCTATACTGCAGTCATGTGTTTAATCTAACGTGAATCGTTAGAAACAACGAATATGCAAATGTTGAGTATTGTTGTATGTTGTAATAAATATATCAATTTGAATTCGTAGTGGTAAACTCCGGACGAAATAATTCACGTTTATCAATATTTGAATCTAATTTGCCAAGAAAGAAAAAAAAAGTATAAATTTAAGTAAACGCCTTATTGTAACTTATAATAGTACTTACTGCTAAAGAACCACTTTTAATGAAAAAATAGTATAATATGATCAAAATACAATTTTACTGCAACGCACCTATTATAATTACACATCCGAATGTACAGTAGAAAATATTCCACAAGAAAAAAACTCGTCTACATTATTACAAAAATAATAATGGCAATATTATAATACCGAAACAATCGGTTTATTGATGTAATTTTTTTCATCGGTAATTTTTTTTTTTTTTTTAATTTTTCATTATGATGAAATTGTGATTGTATTGTAAAATTATACTATACAAATAATACTGTTTTACCATTCATTATTAGTCATTTAAATATTTATTAAAATACCGAGAATATACAATAAAGAGTGAAAAATATATTATTTTGTTGAGAAAAAAAAATGCTGGTATTATTTATATTATTCTTATATTAGGTATATACTTTCAAACGAAATATTTATCTTTTAGAAATATTAATTTTCGTATATTCTCTTCTTTTAAAATCATCGAGAACAAAAATGTCGTTTAATTAAAAAAAAAAAAAAAAAGTACAAAATTGAAAATTATTATTATTGATCGTGGAAAATCATAATAAACCCAATTGAATTGTACCTCGGGTTCCTTCGAGTAAACAAAGTGTGAATTGAAAAAAAAAAAATGTTTGTCCAATCATCGCAGACGGTAATAATCCGTTCATATAAATAATAATTCCTATGTTGGTACTATAATAATAACCTCCGTCTCTCATCTCGTCTCTTGGTCATTTTTCTTGAGTTCGCTGAAGTATATTATATAGTGAAGTTTGTAGTGTTTGTGTGCGAATGTATGTGTGTGTGTGTGTGTGTGTGTGTGTGTGTGCGAGAGGGCGCGTATAATAATATTGTATATATGTATATAAGTGTAAAGATTTATTGCAAAACAAACCCTGCAGACACTATTTTGTCGTCTTTCATTCACACAAAACACCCCGCAGCTGCACAGAATGGGCGGCGGGAGGTGAAGGAAATCAGGAATTAAGGAATGCGCCGGGTTTAATTTCTTAAATTGATTTATACGAGATTCGAAACGCCCACCGACGCGCGTCGGATTTACAATAATTTAATAAAACCCATTTTAATTGGTATTCTATTTATCGGAGCATAATATAACAGTAATAATATATAATTCGAGATTCCATATTATTAAAAAAACCTGCGTTAAAATTTCTGGAATATTTTACAAACATAATAAATATTGAATTTTTTAAATTTTTTTTTTTGTGTATACATTTAAATATTCACTTGCAATAGCAGCAGCAGCAGCAGTTGTACAAAAACATTATAAAATGGTTAACAACTTCATTGATAATTATTCCACCACTTTACAAGGCCGTGTCAAAGAAATATAAGTATTATATAGGTCTACTTCTACCTACGTTGGTTTCCAAAACGAATTGAGGTGTTAATAATTCCGTAATACCGAAGCTAATTAATACCAAGTAAATTAATTAATTGAAAAAATTCACCATGTAGTAAAACCGTCTATTGTTAATCCTATCGCAAAAAAAAAAAATAAATATTTTTTATTAAAAATAATAATTTAGTTTTAAAATTAATTTTGTTACTATGTATACTTGAAATTACCGACACAGTTTTTTTTATACTGCCTACTAAAATACACTAAAAAAAAATAACTGATACTGCTTATGGGCGTGCTATCAATACAGGTGAAAAATAAGGACACTAGAGTACACAGTTAAATTTAATTTATGTCTATACGCAACGATAAACAATTGCTACTGAAAAATGATTCTAAACAAAATTCAGTTCAGCCCAACCAATGAACTAATGTTTCATATACGCCGTGCAATAGTACACATTACGAATTAATGAATACAATTTAATGTTTATAGATTATATTAAAAAATTCTTGAAAATACGCGTTGTTAATATGATTTAAAAAATGTTTATATTATACAGTTTGGATATCTAGTTACATATTTATTATATTGTTAAAGACCTCATTTGAGTACTTTATTCCTAACTAATAATATTCAATTTTAGTTAATGATAACGAAATATGAAAATCTAAAAAATTACCTATTATATGAATGATTTTAATGGGACTATTTAAATGTTTGAATCTAAATCATCGAATTATTACTATATAGAGTGGTGATAAGCGAGACGAATAAAAAAATGAATGTTTTAGTAGTTATATTTTTTTAAATTTAATTTAATATTCACCACGATTTAAATCACGGTAGATATTTATAATATAGAAACCAATACGATCAATGTAAAAGACAATTAAAATATTTAAATAAAATGAATACGTCTGCGATATGTTTGATATGAAATATTTTCCTCGAAATCGTTTAGACTTCAATTGAAAATTATGAATTAAAATATTTAATTGTTAATAATTTTTAGATTTAATACCAATCACAATAATAGTTGTTACAAATATAAAACTGTACGTATAAATAATAATAATCCAAGCCAGTTACAGCACAATACTAAGTGAGTACTTATTTTGCATTAACACACACACACACATACAAACACATTTTATAGAACAATATACGATTAAAAACAATAAAAATATTTATTAACAAGAAGATATATATATAATTAAGTACTGAAATGGTGTTTTTTTTTTTATCATATAAATAATAATGATGCAGGGGTTCATAATGTATTATGAATTCTGAAAATGCAGTTGAAAATATACTATGTAAAAAACATTGCAATCGTGTTCCAGTATTCAACACAATATAAATATTTTGGTATCCAATAACTTTTCAACAGATCCGTTGTTTAGTTAAATTCTAGAAGGCAAGGTAATTTAGTTTTAGCAATATTCGATTACGGTTTTTAAACGGACGAATGATGCACTTGTGTCCAAAATGCAGAGTTGTACATTTTTCAAAAGTATTTCGATTACTTGAATATGAATACAGATACTTTTGAAAAATATGAATAAATACATTCAAAGTTTGAATACTAAATGCTTGGTCTTTAAATATATTATCACCCCGTAGGACAGAGTCGTCGATATTCGGGGTTTTTATAAAACCATAGCATTGGTATTATATACTGGTTTAATACTAGTACATACAAATCAACATGTTAAATCCACGCAACTTTCAATACGGTGTAATATTCGTTGAGTTTCAATTTTTATGTATGAAAAACAATTATACAAATATTTAAAATAGCCTATACCTTTTAAAAACACTTAGTTTACAATACCGTACAATTTTCTTGAGAGTATCGATAACACGTAAATATTATTCGTGGTATTCATACTATACTGGAAAAAGTATTCAAATACTATAACTGAAATAATTTAAAAACCATGCCAAAATAATATTATATGAATATAAAAGTGCTAATCAACATACTTACCATGCAATTATTTCATATTATTATAATCTTCTATACATACATATATATATAATAACATGTCCTGACCGACTGATCCATCATTGCCTAACCCAAACCACTGGACGGGTCTGGCTGAAATTTGGCAAACGGATAGATATTGTAACGAAAACGTCCTCTAAGAATGGATTTTTAAAAATTCAACCCCTAAGGGAGTAAAATATGGGTTTTTATGTATATTTAATACGAATATCTAATTGCGCATTTATTTATTTTTGTTTGTTCAAGGGTTACCTGGGTGTTACGGACGATAATTTGGTTGCCACGGCAAAGAAAACTATTATTATTATTACTATTATTTACACTATTCGAATTTCGCAACAGAACACATTTAGTCCGCTGAAGATGGCTTACTCACTTTCCACATATTTGTTTTCATTCAACGCTGAAATGAATATGGATTAAACTAATAATAACATTAATTGGCACAGGCAACGCCTGGCGCGAGTTAGCTAGTACTTAAGTATTGGAAAAATCGAAAAAATTCGTTTTCAACTGACGTGTTATGATAATCATCAATCGGACATTATTTCCTCATATAATATTATTGTTATCTAAAATGTTGATTTTGTTACGGTTCTTTATCCTCCAATAAACCATTCAAAAATCACAAACATATAAATTCTTTATGTCGTAATATATTGTGCATTTTTAATAACGAAGACCACCAACAATGTTGCTGTTCAACACTTTATTTATGGAGCTCAATATTTCACGCACTCGACGGTACCAAAAAATAATCATACTTGAATTATTATAAATCCGAAACCGAAACTGACGTATCAAAGGCCCTCCTCGAACAAACTTACGGTGCTTTAGATTACTTATTATCATAATTTATTTTTTGTAAAATATCGTATATTTGTCTTTGATCAGTGTATAATATTATTTATTATTTATGTACAACCGTGGTATATTTAATTTTCACAAAAATTTTAACGCATAACGAATTTTCAAATCTGCCAAAAAAAAAAAAAAATTATTTTACATAATATAATAATATTGCGTATTATAAAACTCTTTTAAATTATACAACTATGATGAGTTATTATTTTTGTATATTACACGCGCAAAAAATAAATGAAAGTTGAATTTATAAACAACCTTTTTGTGTTGTACACTAATAATTATTTAAATTTGTGTAGAGCAGATTTCCAAAGGTTATACGATCGTAGCAAGAATGCGTGCATTTGTTTTTGTCACATTGGTTTCACATTTTGTATACAGAATAATTGAAATAATGTAAGATACTCGTTATCGCTGAAAGCATAAACTTTTTCCGGTGTTAGTTCTTTTTTATAGGCAATTTAAGAAATAAGCAGCTATAAAGTGCTGCATTATCATTTTTTTTTTTTTTTTTTTACACCCTTATTGTTGGAAGTGAAACCACTACCAACTTTTTATTTTTGAATAGAAATATATTCTCAATATTCCATAAATACACGGGGGTTTTAATTTTTAAAAAATTGTATTTAAACTATAACTTCATTCCTATTTATAATTTAAATAAGACATCTTTTTTTTCTCAAAAAACACTTTTTCAGTTATTAAAAATGATCCGATATTTTTTTTTTATCAGATATTTTAAAAAACGCAAATTTTTGCCAGGTGGTATTTTATTTAAACAATTTTTTTTTTTTTTTTAACACTTTTCTATTTGGTAGTGGAAACAGTTCTCGGATTTTTCGACGGAGTACCTTTAATGCGAAATTTTCATCGAATATTTTATACTTTATAATAATGTGTCACGTGAAACGTTATTATTGAATATTAAACACGAGCATGGAAAATTGTTTTATACATGCATACGAGTTGGAAAAAAAATGAATATTATTGTTACACGGTGAAATGATATTAAATATACACCTATTTCATATATACATATATATTATATACATTATGGTTAATTGCTTCTGTGCGGTTAAAATAATATATGCGGTCGACACGACGACGACCTCGGGGTACGGCTACGGAAAAGCACACCCGCTGACCTTTGCTACACCAAACGTGTGTATATATATATATGAATGCAAACCTCAATTACGACCCTAAAATGCAACGCACTAGGCTAATTAATGGGTTTGACCACAAAAACTGTATATACCGTCACACACACACACACACACACACAAACATGCACACATACACACGCGCGCGCGCGCGTTTATAAATTATAAAAAAAAACCGAACAGCTAGCCGTTTTATATAAAATCAAGAACTAGGGAAATCACACGATAAATAATAATAATATTATGATTTTCTTATGTTTCTGATTGGCTTTAACTATAAGACGATACCGCTTAACACAAAACCTGTCACATATCCGTGCATTCTCTACAATTTCTCTCTGTCGGGTTTCCGACTGCACTGCCTTGACATCCACCTCAATACAATCTTCCTGCCTTGATGATTTCCCTAAAAGTCTTTTCCCTATGGTGTATTCGTCAATCACTCGCTTAACTACATATCCCTGTAGATACACATGCAGGTCCACATCGATCTTCTTTTAAAAAATCTATCCTAATAATATCGTGGTTTTGAAACCGAATGTTAAGTAGTATAATATAAATTTGATCTTAAGGAAGAAAAACTAAATTTTATTTTATAAAAAAATAAATTCCCTCCCCCACTCAAAAGAATAGAAGAAAAAATTATAACAAAAATTGACTTAAGCCATTCATTCTTGAGACCAAAAATATAATACATATGGTTATGAACGAATAAAACTGAAGAAAACTACACCAGGTACAATATACTATCGATTAACTTCCACGTCTGTGATAGCAGTAATTTGGCGATCCATCGAAAATGCACCACACCGCATTATTCACAATTATTTTATTCTTTTAAAGTTGTATGATTTTATTTTTCTTCCGAAAAATCTTGAAACGAAATTCAAATGTAGCATTTTCGCTGATAGAAAATTGCGTCCAGTTAAAATAAAATCGGTTTCTGACTTTACGTGTATTTTTTTAACGGGAAAAAACGTAGAAAAAACAGACATGTTTACAGCATTAATAGTTTCATTAATTTTATTATTATTTTTTTTTTTTTTTTTTGGAACTCTGTTTGTAATAATCGTAAAGACCAGACATTTTCACCGAATACTTAAACTAAAATTGTCTAGACGCGGTAAAATGTTTAAAACAATCTGGCAATATTTTACTCTATTTATATGTATTTGATATTTTCGACATTTTAAAATTATGATTGACCACAGTTAATGTTTAAATATTATTGTAATTATGGAACTCATTGATTTTTGAGGCGTTATGATAATACCTCACCATGTTGGTTCGCTGACTGTATCCACTCTCACAGGAGTTCCCGGGTGTCTGGAGGCGGAGCCCTGTAAAATCTGACATCCAGACATTGCCCGAATCCCTATATCCCTCTACCTACTCCTGTATCTACATCTTACCCGTTATTAATGTATATGTATAATTGTATACCGAACTAACTAACCGTGTACCATAACCAAACGAGTAAGCTACTGACCTTTCCCGAAATATTCGCGATCGATTCATGCTTCAATAAAATACACAGGGAATACATTAGTACAATTATTTTATACTCGATTTAATCGCGCGGAAGTACAGCTATTTATAATAAATAGAAGTTAGAAAACGCAATATTCTGACCGATTACAACGGCGGTGTTCATTAATAAACTATTTTACCCTAATAAATATTAATTGGTATTATGAAATAAATGTCTAGGTAGACATTTTGCGGTGATGGTAATGCCGAAATTAGTTTGAAGAAAGTTGTGCGCCCATAGTATTGTTGTCGTTTAAAAATCAAAAGTTTATATACTATTTTGTTGTTTTTCCTGTTGAGCCGACGACAATAGCAGCAGGAGGAGGTCTAAACGTTTAGAAATATTTAAGTATCGTACAGAATAAAAAAAAAAAAATATATTTTAAAATCGCTAGAAAAAAGACAAATAATCGAATTTTCAGTTGAGTCGACGGCGCGTCGGTGATGTGGACGTGCAGTCCAGTGAGTCATGAAAACAAGTTATAATAATATTATTATATGTACACGGCCAAGGGTTGTTTTTTTTTACCCCCACTAATATTAAGTCATCTCTGGAGTGGGTTTTCTTTTTTTCTTCTTCTTTTTTTATCCCATCTTTCAAAACGCGTTTTTATTATTATTATTATTACTATTATTATTGCGTTTTTTTCTCGCTCGTTCACCGTATTTCCTCCCTCTTTATACTGCAGGTTATTTCAATCTGTTTTATAAATTCGTTTCGAAGAACGAAAACGGTTTTATACTATTATTTTTCTACTCCCCCGTTATATTTTTGCCAATAGCAGCGTATGAGAGGCGGACGGAACTGGGACAAAACGAGGGGGAACTCTCTTCGCCAGCTCCGAAACCAATATAAATCACGTTAAACACGTATCGGGGTTCGGAATTTTGATCGTATACCAACGTCTTTATATACAAACAAGACGTTAATACCTTGCCTCGCTTTTCCTCTTCGTCGACCCCTCGTCCCAACCAATCATCATCCCGTGTGCCCGACCGTGCCTCGAGAAATAATTACGACTTACCAGTACAAATTGAAAATAGTTGCTTATATCTACACCCACTTTCCAACCGTCTATACACCTATACTATCTCTCCTTATGCTGCACATATTACGTATATTTATAAAATTCCATTCGTTTTCTACACAAACGTATAGGTAATTACGCAGCGAGTAATTTCCCAAATTTTCATATTTCTTTTTGTTTACTAAATGAAATAACATTCCGGTTGGGATCGTGGGAATAAATTTACGAATAATAATTTCTCCCGATAAGTTATGCAAAAAATGGCGATAAAATACAAAACGCGCAAAATATTTATTTTTTATTTTGTTTTTTCCAATATTAGTTAACAGTGAAAAAAAAAAATCATATCTTCCTACTTTAGGATATTATATATTTTCAAAAGTATTGAATAATTTATATTTATAGTTTGAAAGTAATAGTAAATAGGTAGGTAGATAGGTAGGTAAAGTTTATGAACTTTATAATAATTTTATGTCAGATAATAATATAATAATAATAATAATAATAATAATACGCGCCCGTCACTACATATTAATTCGAAAACTTAGCAACTTATATAATAATATAATATAATACCTATAGATATTTGAATATTAAAAAACAATACGAAAATACAATAGAAACGCCGACGCACAGTATTATAATATATTATAATTTAGTTGATAAATTATCATTATTATTATAAACTTACCGCGATGATGTTGATGGTAAAATTTAAATTAATATTACTTAAGAAAATCTCTACGGTTAATAATAATTATTGTTATTATATTGCTTTACAGTTATTATTTTAGAATTAATTTACCCGAATATATATATATATACAATAAATTTAATACAGATTTATATGTAAAACACGTAGATAAAAAAAAAACAAAAAATAATAATAATAAATATTTGAATATTAAAAATAAATGGCGTAATATTGGCACTAAAAGAAAAATTTGAAAAATCGTAATAAGTCGTTTAAATAATATAAAACCGTTTAGTCAATAAATTTATTTTTATAAAACTGCACAGTCAACGTGGAGAAGACAAGAGCGCTTATAATTTTTAAACTGAGGAGTACCGAGACGACGTTTATCCGATAAATAATTTAATAAAATATGCTATAGTAATAATTGTTTGTTATCCAAATGTGTCCCCAGTGGAATCATAATATTGCGCATTATACGCAGTTCAAAAAGTTATGATACGATTATCTATATTTAATTTCTTCTTCTTTTTTTCTTTTTTTTTTTTTTTTTTTTTTTTGTTAAAGAACCGATCAAATCTTGAGACGAAAATTGCGCAACAAAACGGCGAACGATTTGACTAATAATAATTTGAAAACGAAATAACCGAAATTTCTATGTTAATAATAATAAATTTACTATCATAAATAAATATGATTACGTGTAGATATAAAAGAAATTCTAAAATAATTACAAATTATGTCGAGGCCCCGAAAGCATAGATTGTGGTGGATGCAGAATGTTCAAAAACAACATTATGTTAACAAAAGATAGAGTTTTTACAAAAGAAAAAATATGGAATTATCATCTATATATATATATATTATGTATAAAATAAAACGATGAAAGGAGAAATTCAATTTTAACGCTATTCTAGTATAATATGGTTTAGATATTGAATTTAACACTTCCTATCCTAAACTAATTTTAATGCACTGATTTTGGGTGAAATAATTTTAAAATTCTGTGTTTGATCTTGTATTAAAAATTGTATTCTTATAACTAATAATGTACTAAAATAAACGTTTAATTAAATTAATTTAAAATAAATGTTTAAACTATCCATTGGATGGCGCAACACATTTTTTATAATCCGTATATAAAATGGAAACATGTTATTATTTTGACATGTTGAATATTTGCTACAATGGATATTTAAGGGCTAGGGCCATAACACGCGCTTCCGCAAAATACACCAACTTTTTACCACGTAACAGAATTGGGCATTTTTTTTTTTTTTTGACTTCTATGTCTCTGACATCATGATGAGGATGTCCCATCTTAAACGAAATCTTAAGCGGTGGTCGTTTCATGTTGAGTTGTCTTCGATTACAGTCCTTATACAAATTGGTATTTCGAACATTGAAATATATCTATGCCCGAATCATTTTGTATACATTTTCTAGAAACTGCAGATTCGCCTACTCGTTGTTAATAATATTTTTCTAATTATTTATCCATTTTATCAGATACATCAAGTTCGTCCTGGACTTGTTTTGGTTGACTCGAAAACAATTAATATGATATAATATAGCGATAGTGAACAATTATTGCTAGTGTTGGAAAATTCGACAACGTCGCAAAGTCATTTTGCACGAAATTGTATAAATGAAAATAAATATGCGGAATCGTAAACTATCGGTTTTTTTTAAATAAATATATAATATTTGAAATAATGATAAAATATCGAAAAAAAAAATCTCAAATTGAATACTTTATTGCCATACTACGTCATTATTTTGTAACTTTATACATTATAAATTACAATAGTAATTATAATAACGGAAAAAAAGAATAAGATAAATAAAAATAAAAAGTTTTGGCGATGTTACAAAATATTATGTAAGTTGTTTATATTTTGATATTATTTGTGATGGTATAATCATTATATTTATATTTTTTATGTACAGGGTGATCAACATAACGTAAGACACTCATTATCTCGTAAAATATTTACTTTTTTCGGAATTAGTGTTTTTAGGACATTCAGGACATAAATGGCTCTAAAATGTTGCGTTACTCTTTTGTTTTGACATCCTTATTTTAAGAGTTGAAACCACTACCTACTTTGGTTTTCAAATGG